CTAAATCCTGAAATGTAATTTTAGAGAGGTTGAAAAGTTTGTCAAACTTCTATAATAATTGCAGTTTCCCTTCAACAAGAGACAACCAATCATTATGAAAGCTGATGAGATGTGACGGTCTGCTGGAAGTTGTTTGATATTCAATGTGTTCTTGTCTGTCTGTCTTTCCTTCCTTCAGGTGGAGAAATGGGACGGACAGATTGAGGATGGAAGCTTCCCTGGAAAGATCTAAATGGTCGCCGTTACTTTCAATTCATGAGCTCCCAACCTATTGTGGAGTACCTCATAATATGTTATCCCAATTTGATGTCTTGGTTATTGGTTTGCCTGCTAGAGTACATCCTACAGTTGCAACTTACAAAATAAAAACGCACAATTTCAACTAATAATGGTTTTGTATTTGTTTTACTAATGGTGATGAGTTCATATGCAAACAAATTATAGTTTGTACAGAGTCTTTCTTAATCAGACATTAACCATTACCATTATATTATATAATTTATAGCTATATTATTGAGGTTTAAAAAAGTCAGTTTCAAAGACTAAGGTAAATACTGTTCATTCTACATGCTCTATTTAATTAACACTAGTCTAAAGATACTGGATTTAGCCATATAGAGCTAAAGCATTGACACTGTTTAATTCCGTTTGAACGGACAGGATGAGTTTCCATAAAATCAGTGATTACGGACTTAGGAGGTTCTGTAAGTCATTAGCCAGCATTATTTAAACAGCTCTGTTTAATCCTGTTTCTTGGAAGTTATCCTTTTATTGACCATTGTGCATATAAAACAGCAGATGGCGATAAAGTAGCATAAATTAGTCCCTCATTGTGATGGCAACCATTACTAATACAGTTCAAATGTGGCAATTGCAGTAACTATCCTAATTGCAGTCCCTGGAAATTTCTCTCTTTCTGTATATTTCTAATATATGATGCAAAGCACGAGGGCAAAATGTCAGAGGTTAGCTGGTTAGATTAGGTTATTCAGAGGATGCTCTGCAGTGCCAAGTAGAAGTGTAGTGATCACGAAGTCAACATTTAAAGGGATAGTCCACCCAAAAGTGAATTTTTTTTATTTTTTTTTTATCTTCATTTACTCACCAAAGCTGTTCCAAACCTGTATGGATTTCTTTGTTCTGCTGAATGGTTCAAATGTGGCAATTGCAGTAACTATCCTAATTGCAGTCCCTGGAAATTTCTCTTTCTGTATATTTCTAATATATGATGCAAAGCACGAGGGCAAAATGTCAGCGGTTAGCTGGTTAGTTTAGGTTATTCAGAGGATGCTCTGCAGTGCCAAGTAGAAGTGTAGTGATCACGAAGTCAACATTTAAAGGGATAGTCCACCCAAAAGTGATTTTTTTTTATTTATTTTTTTATCTTCATTTACTCGCCAAAGCTGTTCCAAACCTGTATGGATTTCTTTGTTCTGCTGAATGCAAAAGACAATATTTTGAAGAATGTAGGCAACCAAACAATTGCTTTGAAAGTATGGAGAGGAAAAAAATACTACAAAAGTTAATGGCCACCTGCAACTGTTTGTTAACCAAATATCTACTTTTGTGTTCAACAGAAGAAAGAAATTAATACAGGTTTGGAATGACTTGAGGTTGAGTAAATGATGACAGCATTTTCATTTTTGGGTGAATTATACCAGTTGTCTTGGGCACACTAACATGTTACCAGGCTTAACATTTATCATTGCAATGCCAAACAAAAACATGGGGAAAAGCAGCAGATATCTGGTTAATACAGGTTTGGAATGACTTGAGGTTGAGTAAATGATGACAGCATTTTCATTTTTGGGTGAATTATACCTTTAGGTATAGTTGTCTTGGGCACACTAACATGTTACCAGGCTTAACATTTATCATTGCAATGCCAAACAAAAACATGGGGAAAAGCAGCAGATATCTGTCCAGAATATAATTTTTCAACTTTTTTTTTCCAGAAGCGAGTTCTAATTCATAGAATTACGTTTTTGTAGGAAGTGGCATGATGTCAGATTTGTGTTGAACAATTCCGAAAGTTACTGGAAGTGAGAGCATACTGTAAATCTAGTCCTAGGCTGGAAGAGAGCATCATATGTGTATGATGGGTAACTTTTCTGCCCTTTTTGTTTAATACTGGGTTTTCATTTAAACAAGCTCAAATGTTTCAAACTGCTTCACTTTAGATGTATGCATTATTACATGCATCATATGCTGTTATAATGGTCTGTTACTAACTTAAATGCACATTTAAAATATGCAATCCACATATTTTCATTTGTACAAGTCGGACCGTGTTCAACTTTTCTTAGTGACCACTTTAGTACATAACTGAAGCGTGTAGAAGCTTGACAGTCTGTGATCCTGTAGGATCATGGGAAATGGATACCCTTTGCAACACAGGTGTCTGTTTTTAAACAAGTGCAGGTTCCTAGAGAATTTGTCTTAAAAGGTGGTTATTTTATACAAAGAAAAAAAGACCACAGTGGCAGGGTGCTATCAATCAGCTGATCGCAGTTCTCAAAATGTGTTTCCTTTAGCAAGTTCCTGTTTGTCTGTCCGAAAACCACAGACAACTAGTCCAGTGATCCGTGTGCTTGTGTATTATTACATATTTTATTACTTTGTATTCAATGCAATCACTTTCAGGTCAATGCTGACACTTTCAGAAGCCAAACGCAAATCGATCATTACTTTCTAACTTTACCTTATGATTGATAAGTGCATCCAATATGATATAAATTAATTTTTAATGCCTTTAGCCACTTTCAATGAACAAAGGAGAGCTAACGAGAGTAGGCAGCGAAACATTTGTTATCACTAGATCACACACTTGTGTGAAGTGCCAGCAAACCCCTCAAATTGTCCGGTCTCGGAAGAGAGGACTACTTGTTTACAAACAACAAAAAGATTCCATTCTCTCACAGAAGCGCTCACATGACAACAATAACGGTTTTATTGTGTAAGACAGCAACTTTTGGCAAGTTAGAATCCGGTGGGATGCTGCGCCACAGGAACAGAGGCGCGATTCACGTCCATTCTATGAGGTGAATAACCAAATAAGGACATTAAAACAGGCTTTGCCTCAGAACCTCATGAGCTGCCTATCTAGACAGCGTTTCAGGCATCACTGGGGCGTTCCGAGTGATGCTCAAGATGCTGATTAGTTGGATGCGCAATAGTTTTTGAGACGCGGCCGTCATTTCCAACTAAAAGATGTTACGAGAGTGACTTAAGACGCAGTTCTGGTTTAATCCTGTGACTCAGATGTTACAGAAACAGGGGGAGCACCGAACGTGCAACTGCTCATGTCTCACTCTCCATAAAACCCACGAGCCCGAGAGTGTTTCATCACACAGCAGCAACTACCTGATCGACACGAGCTCTGCAAACATAAACGTAAATATAATTCTTTCATAATTATTATTACATAGAAATATAACGGACAAGAATTGGCCTTGGAGTGATATTTTAATTACTCACGATGATGCTGCTTCATTACTAACTGTTAGTAGGCTATTTAAAATGTAAAAAATGTGGCCTTAAATCTTTAAAATAAGCCTGCAGCGAAGTGCATTGTACTTCTTTGACCACTTTGAATTTTATTACTAACTTCCAGTATATTAGAACGTACAGAAAGTATGAATGTCTTGAGTCAAGGAACTGCATGAAGCTGTTAACTGAAGCGAGCTTTATTTTATTCACTGGTGGTAGACTGTTTAAAATTTCAGTTGTTTAACTTTAGCAAGATTGATGCAGGATTGAGGATTTGATGTAACGCCACTAAGACTGAGTTGTCCCACACAACACCATGTTTGAGCAATATATAGGGTGGATCTTGTGCTGATAGAGATGCCTCTTGTATTTGACTTCCACATTTACTTTGCAAATTGCTTTGCACAATACTGATGTGCAACTGTCATCTCAACTCAACAGGCATCCGTCACAGGAAGCTGTTTTTTGTAGTTGTTCTCGATGAAGACATGAAAGGACTGTCTCATTCCTTAGCATTGCTGACAACAACTATTCATATTCTTTTTCCTCCCTCTAGAAGCCTTTCCAAATACATTTTTGTGTTTACCCTGAAAACACAAGTTTGGATTCACTGCAAAAAGAGGAAGAACAGAAGACCTCTGTCTCAATCGCAATAACTGACTTTCTCAACAGAGAGCAGGATGGAAAAGATGAAGGACAGTAAGGTAGAGTCTTTTCTCCTCTGTCTCTGCCTTTATACAGAATGAGTGGTGATGTTTGGCTTTCTTCTTTATGATTTATAAGTAAATGCTTTTCCATGACTATGACCCTTTTAAGAATAATTTAGACATTTAGTCATAGACATTTTCATGTGTTGACTAACACATTCATTTTTACTGTAGTGTATTATTCAGTATTACTAGTAATAGTACTAAATTGCAGCTTCATCATTAAAAATGAGTAATTACAAATATATTTTAATACATCACTTACAAGTTTCAAGAGAAATAACATTAAAGCATATTTTAGTTGATCATAAATGCTTGTCAGTACGTTTGACAGTACACTTTACCATACTTCAAACACAACAGAATTATGAAGCTACATATAAAGTGCTGATTTTCAAAAAAGCATGCTAAAGTTTAGCTAATTGCATTTAATATAGACTTAAACAAGAATACATTTTAATTTAATTGCAGATAACGTCCGAATAAGTTTCCTTAAAAACAAAACAAAAACAACATTCAGTTTGCACTTAGTAAGTACTCTTTTAAAAGTATGCTAAAGTGTCCTTCCTTTTCAGGGATTACATGCCGAAATTATGGTGTTAAATGTAATATGCATAATCTGCTTATTTTTATGGCAGTGGTTTCCTAGATATGTTTTCATAACATGTACCATAGTTTGTGATATAGATGTTACTACAATGATCCCATATACAGAAAACTGTGGTTACCATGCAAGAACAGTAGTAAATATTTAGGGGATGCCTATGGGCATCTGGTGTAGATTTGACATGTTGTCATTTGTTTTTAATTCCCTCACAAATATGGAAAATGATTGTGTAACCTTTGTGTTGCACTAGTGGGTTTAATGAGGTATCCTTGGCTAATGTCTGTTCAGGCTATTAGTTTTCAATTGATTTGACTTATCGCCTTAAGAAATATTTTTAAAAATACAGTGGCGGTAGTGGAACATTGTTTGAGCTGCTTTGTCATCTTGGATTGCAGCATGTGATTTAAGAAACCAAGCTGTGCAAAGGGAACCAACAAGGAGAAATGAATGTTTACAGCAGTTGGCATGTTCAAACTTGAACATGATATGAACAGCATCCTGACCGGTTCTTACTTGTTTTAGAATGAACCGACAGAATGGAAATTTCCAATCCAAGTGTGCCAATTTGGCATCCATTGCAGCTCATTACAAATCTATTAAGTGAGTCTAACACTAAGTGTGTTGATTTAATAAATGAATGTGGTCAATTAAGTTCGGGAGGCTGGGAGTTGCATGGTGGGATTTGGGGTGCAAATATGTGGTTTGGTCTGTTCTGCTCAATAGGGATGAAAAATGCTGTGATGGATCGTCCTCTAACAGCAGAAATAATTATGAACATTAGATTCATAAAGATGGCTCTTGGGTACTTATAGATCACATGATAACACCCATATCCTTGTTTACCGTCACTCCTCCTGGAGTCAGCTTGTGTGTGTTGAAGTCTTTATCATAACATCAGACCGTGTGCACATGCCAGAAAGTTCTGTGCGCAGGTTTAAAGGTGCAGTGCAGTGTTTCTTTACATACTGACATTTGCCAAACGCAGTATTGAGGAAGTTCCTCAGAAGTAATCCACTACAGATCATTATAACTTAATGGAAAACCATTGCAAATTACCTTTAAAAAAAAAATCTAAAAATACAAATGTCACCCAATACACCCTATAGAACAGGCCCTCAGACTGTTAAACTTTATAATCCATTACCCGCATAGCTTAGCATGTGAGAACTAGTGGGAACTGGCCTAAATGTGTGGGTTTCTTTTTTTGTGCCTGTGCCACTGACATGTATTTGTGTCATCAGTCAGGCGAATTTTAACTCTTTAATCTCTGGTCAACTTAGGTTCCTCTGCAGCCGTACAGAGGTTATGTAGTTGACAGTAATCTTAGGTTGTTATTTCTTTGAATTTGACACAAGATAAAGGAACAGACATTAGATCAGAGCAGCCATGACAGTTTCAGATTTTGTTCAGGAAAAAATTACACAGAGACACAAGCATTCCAGTTATTATTGCTTACTAATTTATGCAAGCGTCTTGTTCCACTTTCACACATACTCTGGGAAATACTGTATTGTGTAATATGTTGCTATCAGAATTTGTGAACCATTTAGAATTGAATTGAGAATGCCTAGACTCAATTCAGTTGCTGAATTGAAATAGCAAACAAGGATGCAGAATGGCATTTTGAATTTGAATGTGAGGAAGTATAATTTAAATTAATTTAAATTTAAAGGATTTCATAGCTGTAATTTTTTAATAGGGTTTAGCAACTTCAAAAAAACTTGAAGTTTGTAGGCCTTACAAACAGGATATTGAAGAAGAAAGTGCGACTACTGAGTGACGTGAGGGTGTGATTTGTGCAGTGGTGGCTCGTGGGTTTTAAAATAGAGGAGGCACACTAATTGTATTGGTCTGGGGATCCCTGCCGATTATTATTATTAGGGGCCAAGCACCGAAGGTGCAGTGTCACCTATTGTATCCGTTAGCGTCATTTTTCTTCTTCCGCTGAAAGTCTATGGCAGCCCATAGAACCGCTTGCGGGAAAGTTGTGAAATTTGGCACACTGATAGAGGACAGTCTCAACATTAACCACAGCAAGTTTGGAGTCTCTAACTCCAACTCTCTAGCGCCACCACTTGTGCAAAGTTGCAATTTCTTTATGCTAATAACTTTTGAACCATAAGGCACAAAATGAAAATTCCGTTTTCCTCTGAATCTTTGTCTCATGCCGAGTCGAAGGAACACCAAAATTCAAAAATCGCAAGGTTTAGTTTTTTCGCTGTTTTTAAGTGTTCGTAAAACCTGCTTTTTCGAACTCGTCCTAGACAGTTTGTCTGATTCTCACCAAAATTGGCTCAGATCATCTTCAGACAATGCTGGCAAAATGTTATGGAATTCAAGTTGATTCGTCACACCGTTCTCGAATAACGCACGAAGGAATTGTACGAAAAGCACGTAAAAATGGATGTGAGGCTATATCTCTGCAATGGTTTGGCGTATTGAGACCAAACTTGGTGTGTGTTATAACAAGCATGACCTGAGACTACCTGCCGTGTTTCGGCGCAGTGCCCCCTAGTGGTCAGGAGATAACAGAAGGCCTCTTTAGATTCAGTGCATCATGCCGAGTCGAACCATACCAATTTGTTTTGTGTCAGCTATTTTGGGCGTCGGCCATTTTGAATTTTGTCAAAAAATGCAATATTTAAAGAACGCTTAGACTTTGTTATTACAAAAATCGGTATGCATCTTCGGCACCATGCCCTGATGGCACTCAAAAAGTTTGGGCACAGTTATAAGACAATTTATAAAAATGCTAATAACTTTTGCATACATTACAATATTGTAATAAGACTGATGTTTATAGATTCCTTGCATAATGCTGAGAACATCGATACCAATTTTGTCATAATTGGCGGAACTTCCTGTCCGCCATTTTGATTCACGTTGGAAACCTAATTTTTCGAACTCCTCCTAGACCGTTTGTTCAATTTTCACCAAATTTGACTCGGATGAGCAAGCTGACCAAGCTGGCAAAAAGTTATGGATTTTGTGTCGATATACGAAACGGTTTTCGTTTAGAGCATCAACGAATTTGCTGGTTAAGATGCCAAAATGCATCTGAGGCTGTATCTGCAAAGCTTTGACTTATTTGGACCAAACTTTGTATGTGCCATTGTCACCTCACACTGACCACGCCACATCAATTTGGTAACAGCGCCACCTATTGGTCAAGAGTAATAAACCATTGATTTATTATTAATTATGAAATTTCCAAAAATGCTAATAACTTTTGATTGCATTAGCCTATTGCAATGAAACTGCTCTCAAAATATTCCTTGGCTTATGCCGACAACAGACATATACGAATTTTCGCTTAGCAAATCTGAACAGCCTGTCGGCCATTTTGATTTATGCTGTAAACCTTCTTTTTCGAACTCCTCCTCAAGCCTTGGTCCGATTTTCACCAAAATCGAGTCAAATCATCTTCAGACTGTGCTGACAAAAATGAAACATATATCGTTGATATATTTTTTAGCTATATCGTCCAGCCCTACGTTAGCCTATATCCAGCTTAGGCATGTTCTCCCTTTATTTTAAATTTGTATATATAAATATTGTATATTTGAATTGAATGACAGCTTGGTAAATCTGTTGGCGATCAAATAGTCTATTCAATATCGCTACTCATCATAAGTACTTGGTACATTATCAGCGTAGCGGGAGACGTTCAAACTAATATCACGTAATTTACGTCACTGTGATGATTGGTTGATATCAGAAGGGAGGCTATGAGGTATCTTTTCTCAACACTCCTCAGCACTGAAAGTGAACACTCGATGCTGATTGGCTAATTTTTTTTTACCAACGGAGGCACGAGAGCTCAGGGGCAAGTTCAAGCTCAAACCGGTGTGCACCGTTTTGCTACGGTTTCCGGTTTGAACGACATGTTTCCTGGAAACGGTGTGCAATGGGGTTTGAGATGCGTTTTCTCTTGTTTGGTGGGTGTGTCAAACATGTCAGCCCAATCAGCAGCAATGTGTATGTAAACCACGCGGTATTAAAGAGACAGCTCGCACAATGTAATTAACATCCAAATAAATTCACAAGAGTAAGAATATTGTTTGCACATGTTTATTTACATTAAAGGCAAAATAACTGAAATAATAAGGGCACAAGTATAGATCTGGAACTTCTTTAAGTCTGTCTAAATATCATTTAGTAATTGCAATGTGTTCTGGTCCATATC